CTCTTAACTTTAATTTCAGTACGTAATAACAGTCGAAACAGAAAGTTTATCGTGCTTGGTAAAGAAAAACGTTTACGGCTATTGAGCGTCTATCTACAGTCTTTCCATTCGTTCCGACTTACATGATCGATAAACTAATTATAACCTAGAACAAGACATTTAGGGTAAGATGGCTCCCGTAGTCACATAATGTAAATAAGTGCAATAAATGTACGACATAAAATGCCGACAAAGAAATTGAAAGAACTTTCGACCTCAACCATTCTGCATCAAATTCCACCACTAATAGGTACTTCTCCCACCTTATTATCACTAAGCTTGCTTGATCAGTCTTGATAAAAAGGGAACTCCTGGCCCCATGTATTGCTTTTTTATATGATCTTCCATTCCTTCTAGTTACCTCATTTGTCCACGTGTCTTTTGTTGTTTATGTCCACATATATCAGATATGATCAACTCGCAATTCTGTAGACTGACAGCAAGGAATGAAAAAGCAATATCTCCTTCTTATCACAGTACGTATTGTTACCGAAATTCTCATATGCCACGCAAAAGTCTCTTTGTTTTCAATCCGTATTTAATCTTTCCATATTGCAGTTTCTGCCATCGATCGTGACGAGACAGACGTCAGAAGAGTAGGTGGATATATGAAAGAAAGATAAATCAACAAGTTCGAACATGTGCCCACATAAACTGAACATTTTGATCTCTTATCACCCGGCAGTGCGCTCTCGTTTTTGTCGGACAATCTCGTTGCAGTGTCGTTGTTGTTTATGGTAGAGCCATCCCGAAGGATAGCCCTGCAGAAAAGTCAACTCCTTGCGCTGCACCGTCTTTTATGACTAACCAGTCCAATGCGGCAGTGGGGGTCTCTGCATCAGTCTTGGCAGACAAAGTTGGTCTCCTGGAAAGAGACTGCTCCTTAAGTTACAGGACGGACTACAAGAGTGTCAAACAGAGTCTGTATTGTATCCTTGCACTCCTGATTCGCACCCCTTCTATCCCCTTCTATACAGAAGGAGAAAATAGAAGTGATCGTGTTTTAGACAAGAGTGAGTCGGCAGCTCGGATTGTAAGCGGACATCTTCCGATCGGATCGCGCCATCACAGATTTGCGTTTCGTTTCAATTTCACGTACTGAACTGAGTAGAACAAATCAGTGCCTTTATCTCCCATGCTGGTACATGTTGAGATGGATTTGCAGTCACACGGATTCCATGTCGTTTCCCTCATGTCCTGCGAATCATGGCGTAAAGTTAAGGAAGCCATAATTTCTTGCAAAGTTTTTGTCTGCGTTTCTCACTTAAAGATGATGCTTCAAGCACCGAACTGAACCTCTTCATAAAAGTAAGACCAATCCACTGGATCGCAAATTTATCGTTACACAGAATCCAAGTCGTTTGGCGTTAGCTGGTTTAACTCTTTTCAATGCAAATCCACGATATCGCATATAAACAAAGGGTCTTTGTCTACTTCATTCAGTCAGTATGCAAATATCACACAGTCAATAATACTGCGTCTGATTGGAGAATGTTGACATACAGGCTGACAAGTGCAAGTGTTCGCCAACAGATTATGCCAGGATGCTCGGTTTTGATTGGTAAGCGTTACGTTGGGGGATTCCCCTAATTTTACGCGTCCCTTATGTGAGTGAACAGCGAAAACGACCCTCAGGAATTTTGATCAGCTTGTTATGGCAGGCGTAATATCAAAGTAAAAAGCTACAATAAAAATAAAACTACAAACTGCAACTGCAATAAGACTGCGATAATGTAGCGTTAATTTTACTGGGCAATAACACTTCTAAGGATGTAAGACCTTTCGGTTGACGTTCACGGGACGAATTATCTGTTCAAATCTTGGAGCTTGTAGCTCTTCGAGTTGCGTTCGCACAGATCTCGGCTCGTCATCAAACGTTTGTTTGGGTCTTGGGCCCTCTGAAATTTTGCAGAAACAAAAACGCTGATTGTTGGTTGCAAAAATGAGGCTGCGAGGGTACATGAAGTCAGTCGCTAGATAGTCTCCATGAGAGGCCGGTGTGCATTCTAGGTGGAACAGCTGCCAGGTAGATAATAGCTTAAAAACTCGATTCAGCATCGCCAACTTGACTGTTTAATCAGTGCAAGATGATTTCTATAAGGACATAAAAACACTAACCAAACTGTCTGACTCTAGCCGCGCAAATTTATTTGTCTAGCGCAGAGTATTTCGATATTTACATTATATTCCTTTTTGTCATAAGTATTAAAGTCCTTTGTAAATTTGAATAATTTTTAGAATTTTTGTCAATGTTCTTTACGTAACGCTTCAAGTTTTACCACTATACGGTAATTTCAGTCGCG